TGAAATGCATGAAAAAATCCGCTTCACAAAAGAAACGTTTCAGTGTGAGGATTTGCTTTTATGCGTTTAAAATTTTCACTTGTTATGCATTGATTGTCATTTTATTATTGATTGTCAAACCTTATGTCAATCTGATAATTTTTTGTAGCTAACAACCTTCTTTTGTTTTTCAGGAAAATGGCAGCGTAACAAATTTGTTGGTGTCTCCCTAGTAGGCAAGAAGCTGGCAATTATGGGTTTTGGAAAAGTTGGTTCAGAAGTTGCCAGACGTGCGAAAGGACTAGGAATGCAGGTCATTGCTCATGACCCATATGCCCCTTCAGACAGAGCTCGTGCTATTGGTGTAGAATTAGTATCGTTTGATGAAGCCATATCCACAGCAGATTTCATCTCACTTCACATGCCACTCACCCCTTCTACCTCTAAAATTTTCAATGATGAAAATTTTGCAAAAATGAAGAAGGGTGTGAGAATTATTAATGTTGCAAGAGGTGGTGTAATCGATGAAGATGCCTTGTTGAGGGCACTTGACAACGGAACAGTTGCTCAGGTATTTCTCAACCGTTTTACTTGTTGAAATAGTGCTATTTTTCTTCTTTTTAAATGCCCTCCTAGAAAAACTTATAAATTAAATGGATCCTGTGATCCTTGACAACGGAACAGTTGCTCAGGTATTTCTCTACCGTTTTACTTGTTGTAATAGTGCTATTTTTCTTCTTTTTAAATGCCCGCCTAGAAAAACTTATAAATTAAATGGATCCTGTGATCTTTCTAAGAAGAATGATTCTCCGGTGCACATATTTTCCATCAACACCTATGGCCATGTTTGTTTATGGTCATGTTTGTTCTTCCTCCTTGCATATTTGCTCTGATATTTTTTTAACGCATTAGCAAAATATATTCAATGTGCCGTTTCTATATTACAATAATTTTAATCTGAGAATTGTGTCAAGCAATAATAACATGCAATCACTTTATGAAGTAGCACTACGTTCATATTGCTGCTTTTCTAAGTTAGACCTGAATGTTACGTCATAAGTCTCACAATCATATCCCTTTGTTCAAGGCAAGCTCAAATTCTGAGTTGAATACCCATTAATAGATCCGATGATCTGAGTTTTGTCAGACTAATTCTGAATATTTTATCCATTCTTTAAGAAATATTATTTTTATTAGGACATATTTGTAGATTTATCAACCATGCTCGTGCAGTGCTAAAGATGAACTTCTATTATGATTGTTAGTTAAACAGTAGGAAAGTTTTCCCACACTCGAGTTACTGAGGTTTCTTCTGGATTGCTTCACAGGCTGCACTAGATGTATTTGCAGAAGAACCCCCAGCAAAGGACAACAAGTTAGTTCAGCATGAGAATGTTATTGTTACTCCCCATCTTGGAGCCAGCACCACCGAAGCTCAGGTTTGCAATCCTGTCAAAGATTGAATGAACATGTGCAGCCACTGAGATAACTTCACAAAAATTTCTGAGCGTGTGTTTGTGATGCTTTTTTAACCAATTATCTAATATTCATTTAAAATGTTAGGAAGGTGTGGCGATTGAGATAGCTGAGGCTGTGATTGGAGCATTGAATGGTGAACTAGCTGCTACTGCTGTGAATGCACCCATGGTTCCTTCTGAGGTAAAGACGACGATATAACTTCAAAATATATTGATATCTTAGAAAAGCTTATGAGACTTATTTTATTCACAGGTTTTGTCCGAGTTGGCCCCATATGTTATATTGGCAGAGAAGCTTGGTAGACTTGCCCTGCAGCTAGTAGGGGGTGGAAGTGGCATCAAGGGTGTGAAGATCGTATACACATCAGCTCGAAGCCCCGATGACCTCGACACTAGAATTCTTCGAGCCATGGTCACTAAAGGTGTCGTGGAGCCCATATCAAGTGTTTTTGTAAACCTTGTCAATGCTGATTACATCGCCAAGCAAAGGGGTCTGCGCATCAGCGAAGAGCGAGTATTCCATGACGGCTCTCCTGAAATCCCGGTGAACTTCATCCAGGTCCACCTCTCAAATGTGGAGTCCAAATTCGCCAGTGCCATATCAGACTCGGGTGAGATCGTGGTGGAGGGCAGAGTGAAGGATGGGATCCCACATCTCACAAGCGTAGGCTCATACAGCGTGGATGTCAGCCTCGAAGGAAATCTGATACTTTGCAGACAGATTGACCAGCCTGGTATGATTGGCTTTGTGGGGAACATTCTTGGGGAAAGCAATGTGAACATCAGCTTTATGAGTGTGAGCAGAATTGCACCTAGGAAGCAAGCAATTATGGCCATAGGTGTAGATGAAGAGCCGGAGAAAGAAACTCTAAGGAAAATTGGTGAAATACCATCGATTGAGGAGTTTGTCTTTCTGAAGCTATGATAGAAGCCTTTTCTATTACCTCGTATGCACTTCTTCGAGGAGCCCTACATTCTTTTTAGTTATCCTTTTTGAGCAATAATGAGTTTCTGGTCTTTAGGCATTATACCTTTTTGATTGTTGTTCTTCATGCAGTCTCCGAAAGGTTTAATTGCGGAAACATCTATTTTTTTTGTGGTGTCTTGGCGATGCATGTTTCATTTCTATTGTTGTTTGTATTATGCGGGATTTTGTTTCTTGGAGATTCATTTAATGCTTCCGTGCTTGATGGGTGCTTGTGGTTAGCATGAAAATGCTAGGTTGATTTGAGTTGTTAAGAGGTTGTTAAGTTTGATTGATATTTACTTATTTTTAATTTTGCTAATAAAAATAATAACACCTAAAACGTAGTTAAGTTTGATTGATATTTACTTATTTTTAATTTTAGAGATATTTTGTTATGTTTGACAAGTATCTGCCCTTATACTTTGAAATGTGATCTCCTGGAATTTAGAAATAATGATATATTGTGTTATGAATTTTATGCAATTATCATACAATTGAATCCAAAAATATCTTGTGCATCACACCCTAGGAATAGAGAGCTAGACGGATGAAAGAATAGTGTTGAATTTAAAAATGTCTTGTGGATCACACCCACTCTAATGGGGGTCCAACCTACTCTAAAATGACTCCACACGCTATCGGTCAACTTTTTTTATTTCGATAGATTTGAAAATATGAATATGAAAATAATTTTTGAGATTTAATTTAAATATAAAAGATATAGTTTGGGTTTTAAAAGTAGTATGTTTTAATTTTTGAAAAATGAGACCAAATGGATCTCATTCGTCCAATAGTTTGCATAATCATGTCTGATACCGCGAATACTACACCCTCCCGAAAGATAAGTGTAGACCTCGGCGATAGACCCAATCCTACAAACTAAGAGATTTGTGACATCTGTATGGTATGCGAACCTTTTTATGTATGACCGACAAGTTTCCCTATCTAATACAAAGATTAAACAGGGTTTATTTTACCTGGGTTTCAAGTTCTCTATAAAGGCAAGCCCCTATAGTTAATTACATCTCAAATGATTGGAGTTACTTGAGAAAACTCTCGATAATGATCAGTGGTTCTAGTCTTCAAGATTTAAAGGTTTAGGTTTTCACGGTAGGACGTGGAAAAACAAGTGGGAGTGGCTCAAGTAGGAACAGTTCTTTTAGAAGTTCAATGGAAGTAAACGGTAGGGGCGTCACAGAACTTGAGGAGGAACCTCAGTGACTTCCCAAACTATTCTACTGTACGGCTACATTTTAGAGAAGATGTTATTTGAATGTTCTGAATGTTCAATTTTATTATTTGGGACTTACGAATGCATAATACTCGATTATGCAAATAGCCCGAAGAAATAAGAGGGTTTACGTCGTGTCACAAGAAATAAGAGGGTTTAC